GTATATTGTTATTGATCTTCACAAGACACATATCTTTAAATCTCACAAGGATACACAGAATTCAAGCTGTTGTTTTTTGATTAATTGGTTATTCAGGGATAAACTGTGTAAAATATTTGAGTTTTATAGGAAATAAAAAATTGAATTTTGCCCCAATTTTAAATGAAGCTTTATATGTACACAATGTCTGCAGTTCTTTTCTATCTGCATTTCTTCCACTATTATTCACTATATTTATATCTTTCAAAGTTATCCTCCTGACAGAAACTAAATGTCCCTCCAGTCACAGTTTTTCTTGCTCCCTGTTATTTTGAAGTCCTGAAACAGGCCTGTACTGGATATGTGATGTCCCCACCCACATACAAGGGCAGGACCATCCACCAATTCCAAACCGGCTATACATTTTGTTTCCCCTTGGCAGGGGCAATAGAGATTCAGATGAACCAACTAAACTGACCCTGTGTGAGGACAACACCTGGGGAGAGAAGGTAAGCCTGGAAAGACAGCAGTAGCTTTCTGTTGTTGTCTTTTATCCAGTCACTTTGGGAGGCTAACATTGGAGTTACTTAAGTTGCTGGCCAAATCTGTACTTTCTCTCTGGTGTAGGCAGGGCACCTCAGAAACCCATAGACCCTAAAGCTAGGTGGAAAAAGTTGTGACTGGCTGGATCCCAAGACTGCTGATCTTGGAAAGAAATCACTCTCTCAAAAACACAGAAGAATTTTTTTCTTTGACTCAATCTTTTTTTTTTCAGTATAGATTATTGTTTTTCTTTTTCTTTCATTGGAATTGTGAAATTTAGAATTGTTTTCATCCTCTTTTGATTTTTTTCTTTTACTTTCTTTTTCCTCCTTTTCTGTTTACACTTTCAACCTTTTCTCTTCCTTATCTTTCATTTCCTGTGTTTAGCTGTTTTTCTTTTCTTTTTCTTATTCATTCTTTTTTGTGACTGTTCTCTATTAATTTCCTTTTACTCTTCAATATGACCCTCATCTCATCTTTCTCTCTTCTCATATCCCATTAATTTTTTAATTTAACTTTTTTCATTCCCTAGTTCCTGAACAGTACCCCAGCTGCACATGAAACAGTATCAAGAATCAACAAATTGAACTAGGGATTAATTCAGCAGCACCACACCTGCTTTGCAAGCAGAAGGTCCTGAGTTCGATCCCCAGTACAAAAAACAAAAAAAGAGAGAGAGAGAATCAATAAATTGGATCATATCAAATTAAAAATCTTCTGCATAGCAAAAAAAAAACAACTAACAGAGTGAAAGGCAACCAACAGAGTGGGAAAAAATTTCCAGTTATTCCTCAGACAGAGGATAATACTTAGAATATATAAAGAACTCCAAAAAGTTAGACCTTCCCCAAAAATAAAGGACCCAAGGAAAAAAATGGGCAAGTGAAATAGACACATCACAAAAAAAGAAGTATAAATGGCCACTAAACACATGGAGAAATGCTCAACATTGCTGGACATTAAAGAACTGCAAATTAAAAATCACTGAGATTGTATCATACCCAAGAAAGAATGGCCATCAAGACATCAAATAGCAAAAGCTGGCAAGGATTTGGGGAAAAAGGGAACCCTTCTCCATTGTTGGTGGCAATATAAACTAGCACAACCACTATGGAAATCATTATGGAGATTCCTCAAAACACTAAAAATAGAAATTGTATTTGACCCAGCTATTTCTCTTCTAGGTATCTTTCCAAAAGGGTTAAAGGCAACATATTACAGTGATCCATGCATACCCATGTTTACAGCAGCACAATTCATAACAGCTAAATCTTGGAAGCAGCCTACATGTCTAGCAACAGATGAATAGAAAAAGAAAATGTGGTATTTACACACAATGGAGTATCACCTGGCATAAAGATAAACTTGTACTATTTGTAGAAAAATGGATATGCCTTAAGACCATATGTTATGTAAAATAAATCAGACATACAAGTTTAAATATCACATGATTTCTCTTATGAGAAGCCCAAATTATACATAAAGAGCAAAATAAAAGATAGATAATAGGAAATAGGGAGATAGATGTCTTAGCTACTTTTCCCATTGCTGAGATGGAATATCCAACACCCAGTTAAAGGAGGAAAGGTTTATTTAGCTCACAGTTTGTAGAGGTTTCACTTCACAGTCAGCTGGTTCCAAGGCAGGGTGGCACGGCAGAGAAGAAACAGTTCATGGTGGGCAGAAGGTAGCAAAGCAAGCAAGGGCCAAGAAAAGCTTCTTTCTGTCCCTTATATTGTACCCAGGCCTCCGAGATTAAGGTGGTACCAAACCAGTCAGTGTACTGATTTAGTAATCATCCACACTTAATCCTAACATTGCACCATGAGTCTAGAAACAGCCACCTCTGAAAAAGCCCCATCTAGACACAAACAATAACATTAGGTGTTTCTCAAATGGGAAGGGGATCAAGAGAGAGGGAGGAGGAAGGAAAGGGAATAAGAAAAGGGTTTTGTTTTTTTTTTGTTTTTGTATTTTTTGTTTGTTTGTTTTTTTGGTACCAGGGATAGACCTCAGGTCCTTGAACTTGCGAGGCAGGCTGCAGAACCACTAAGCTAAATCCCCAGCCCATGAAAAGGAATTTAAAAAAAGGAATTAAGATGTGTTATGTATGTCTACCAACTTCACACAAGGAATGTAAGCACAATGTACTACAAATACGTACCAATAAAAATTAAATGAAATAATAAGAAAGGAAATAAAGAAGGAAGGGAGGAAGAGAAGAAGAAAGGAAGGAGAGAAGGAAGAAAGGAAGGAAGGAAGAAAGGAAAAGAAAGAAAGTTAGTTCTGCAATTCTGAAGTATAACCATCACCAAAACTCAATCTATTCCCTGGTTGTTAAGTTAGGCTTTTTTTTTTCAATAAAATTAATACAATTTCCAAAAGTACCTCCAATTTTACAAGTGAAGATAATGTGTGAATACTGAATAGTTTCTCTGGTGTGAGAAACTGAAAGTGTCAATGAGGACCAAAATGTATAATAGATAATGTGAAATAAGAAAAAAAGGTCCAACGGGGAAGGGGAAATAGGGAGGGGAGATAGGGAAAAGGAAAGAAGGGTAAGAAAAAAATATGAGAAAAGAATGAAAAAATGGAAGCAAAGTCTTTGTAAATAGGGAGGGATGGAAGGGAGGGAAGAAGAATGAGGGGGAAAAAAGAATCAAGATACATTATGTACAGGTACAAATTCCCAATGATGAATGTGATCATATTGTATACCTAAAACGTACCAATAAACTTAATGAAAAAAAGGTAATAGAGGCAAGTAGAAGAAATTGACTCACCAGGTGCTGAACAATGAACATATTAGCATGCCAAATCCCATGTTCTAATGGAAATTATCAGCAAAATTTAAAATATGTTCAGAAACTCAATGACATATAAGCAGAAAATTAATTATGTTATACTTCATAGTAAAGGTTGATCAACCCTAATCTGAAAATTCAAACCTGAAATGCTCCAACATCCAAAATGTTTTGAATGTCAACCTGACACCAAGAGTAGAAAATTCCCCATCTGACCTCATATGAAGGGTCACAGACAAAATGTAGCATAAAATTGATATAAATAATACAGAATAAAGTGATCATCAGGCTATGAATATAAGGCATACATGAAATAAATGAATTTTTATTTAGACTTGGATCCCATCTCCAAGATATTCCACTTACATATATGCCAATATTCCAAAATCTGAAACCCAAAATATTTCTGGTCCTAAACTTTCCAGATAATGGATACTCATCTTGTACTGCAAAGCTAGCAGTTGCTTTCAAAGACATTGTGTAATGCAGTGATTTCCCCATCACCCAAAGAAGCTAATCACAATACTACCAAAGGGCTTGTTTAAAATCCAGATTCTAGGGTCTCCCCCAGACTCTGTGGAGGACAGACTTGGAGTGCGTATTTTCATCAAGGAGTCAAGGTAATGCTCCTGGGATTCCTACCCAATGGAACACTCTTGGAATTGCCAAGGTTCTGCCCTACATGTGCACTTAACTGTAAATTCAATTTTAATTTAGAAAAGTTTCAAAGAATCACTGCCTATCCTCTGAATGGGAGACTTGAAAGTAAATTTATTGTTTCTTCTTTCTCTTGACTGTATGTTTCCCTCAATGAACATGGATTACTTTTTAAATAAATTTTATTATATTGTCTTAAAAAGAAGAGCAACTCTGCAGAGGGTCTAAATGCTTCCAAGGGTGGGGACCCATGCTGCATTTTATTCCAGGACTTTTGCAGGTGCCTTTTTAAAACATAACTCCTGGCAACATAGCTTTGTCTGAGTCAAAAAAAATATGATTTTTAATCATGGCCCAGCAATAGTGAATGGTTTTTGTAAACGTGTTGACCTTTCTGTGATTCATTTTCTATAGTCAAAGCTGAATGGCTTAATGAGCAGGCAAGTTTTTGTGGGCATTTTTAGGACTTTTCTTTGTAGTACTAAACTAGCAAATCTAAAATATTCTTTAAATTAAGAAACACCTGACAGTTCCTAAGTTTTTTTCATCAGTGATCCTTTTAAAGCTCTCAAAATGGTCTTATGTGTCTTCAATATTGGTACTTTGGTTTACTGCCAGAAAGTGACTGACTAAAAAAAAACTGAGAAGAAGAAAGGCAGCAAAAGACCAAGAATGAATTGAAAAAATTAATATGCTCATACAGAAATTTCACGAAATAACATAATTATATAACTCATTCCCAAAACTAATAAACAATTTAGACTCTCAGAGAAAGCAGTATGGAGAAAGACCAGAAATAAGGGGCAAAAACGTTTTGCATTTCTTGTCATCACAGCAGGTAAATTACACCAGATAATGGTTTAGGCCAATTTATTACAAAGGGCACCATAATTGTTCCTAATGACTCTTTTGCTGTAACTTTCTTTTAAAGCAACTTTCAAAGGATGAAAGAAAGAAGGCCTTTCTGATGTACAGAGAAAACAAACACCACAGAAAAATGCACATGAAAGTTCTTACTTCTTCCTCTCAGAGCCCAATATCCTAAACAAATCTTTAAAGTACTGCGGGACACGAACCACCACATTTTCAGAGGGGCCAATGTCTTTCAGGTGGGGGTACAGTCTGGTATCAATGACCTTCTTGATGTAGCCCAGCCAGTCAAACTGAGGAGAGAAAGAGAGACATAAAAAAAAGAGAGAGAGATACTTTGTTAGGCAGCAAGTAAGAAGAAAGGCAAATAGAGTAGGCTGAGCAATTAAAGATGCAACTGCTCATCCTTTACTTATCCAGAAGATAAACTCTTGATTATCGCCATTTATACCCATGGACAAATGGAGTCTGTGTACACATAACGTGTGCACAGGGACCACATACACTCTCACGCAGTGATGTGCACCGGTGCTCCTTGGGCTCCTCCAGCTTTCTCCATCTTCCCAAGCTCCCTCTTCTTCCTTCATTCTGCTCTCAGCCCCTGACCTACTCCTCTGGTCTATGCTCCCTTCCTCCTACACTCTTCCCGCATCTCCTGCACTTCCCTCCCTCCAATCTACACTGCCCCTCTCTCCTTTCCTTTGCACTGTAGTCTCCTTGCTCCCATACACACAGGTAGATACAGACTCATCAGCACCTTACTATCTTCAACCTGAAACAGCCTGTTTTAATCACAGGAAGAAACAAAGGAACAGATTGTAGAGTCCATTCTTCTCTAAAACACTACTTGGTATATTAGACTGGCTCTGCCAAAAGACATTTACCAACCTTTCTCCCTTGTCTTTCTCTGCTACTAAAATGGAAAGCCAATTATTTATTTGTCCAGAATCCATCCCACTATCCACCCCAGAGTTAGGAGTGACCACATGACTCAATTCCACTAAATAAGAATTCCATCCAATTCTCCTAAATAAAGAAGATATCTGGGGATATTCTGGAAAAGCTATTTTGTTTTCCTTAATAAAAGAGTCAGATGTGGCCAACACTGGTCCCCCAACACTGGTCCTTCCTCTTGCCTTAATGACAGATACTATAAAATATAGAGGTATGATAGCCACTTTCAAACCTTGAACCATCAAACATGAAATTGAAAATCAAATATCCTGCCAGGTATGGCAGCACACGCCTGTAATCCCTGTACTTGGAAGGCTGATGCAGGAGAATCACTGTGAGTTCCAGGACTGCAGGGCTACACAGCGAGTTCAAGGCCAGCCTGAATTACAGAAGGAGACCTTGTCTCAAAAAAAAAAAATCAAACACACTAAGCAGAGTAAAATGCAAAGATAAAAAGAATTTGTGTTTTTGACAATATTGTTTAACAGCAGAACCAACTACTACCTATGTCTAGATTTTTATCATATAAGAAAACAGGCTTTTCAGTTTTAAGCCACTGTCAGAAAGATTTTCTGTTCCCTATACAGAAGGCATCCTGATATCCACACAAGGGATATTTTATGTGATAGCTGACAAAGTTGATGATAACCAAAAACACTGGCAATAGGTTTTTTTACAAGGCAAAAATTTGTACGTAGATGAAATATAATCACTTGTAAAATGACCAGTTAAGAGAAAATTTCCTGGATAGTTTTCACCAACCTGGGGAATCATAGCACTCAGTTCAGTTATGTTCATTTTGTTGTACATAGCCTCACTGGTTCGGTTTTCATGTGGAATCATTATCTGTTGGGAAAAGACTTTAGTTATTTTTTCAAATGAGCCATTTCTTACTGCATGACTACTCTCTACATATGCCAAACATCTGCACACTATTAAAAAGTTTTTCAAGGCTTTGGTGTGGTGCCAAGCTGAAGAGAGAGATTAAAAAAAGACAACATTTTAGGTAGGATTAAGAAAATTTAAAACAAAACTTACATGTTCTCTGAGGTGTAAAATATTATTCCCCGTACAAGAACTTCCCAGAATGCCCTCTTTCTCTATAATGTGAATGTGCAAAGTCCATTCCCGCCTTAGTATTGCCAGCCAAAGTGAAATCGAATAATTGAAGCAAAGGTTCCATTTTCACCTCAGGTCTCCAGTCAATGACCTCAACATTTTCTGAACCACAGACCATCCCTTCATCTCTAAGGGCCAATATTCACTGAGGAACATGGGCTATCTAGATACCACTGCTACCCGTAATCATTCTGTCAACAGCTCAGTCCTTCATGGCTCCCTCTTATTTATTTGGCCTTAGATTCTCTTAGCCATATTGCTGGGGGTATGGATTCACCTATAACCTGGACACATACACCAAAACCTGCACCTCCTGGCCCTGATTCTTCACACTCTTTCCATTCCAAATATTCATACTCTACACCATTTGACCAACACCAAATCTAAGCTTCTAGCTACCACCATGTTTAGCCTAAGAATAGAAATAGTGATTATATTCCTCAACGGTCATCTTAATCACTTCTACTGATAGACAGTAGCTTCCATATCACCCCCAATAATAGCATGATCGTGTCTACATTTGATTTTTCTTACACTAAACTTGCTACCTTCCACCTCACACATGACCTTATACCTTTCCACCTCCTAACCACAGTCACCACCTCCATGGTTTGAACTATGATTCAAGATTTTGCCTGAGATTATGTCCTGTAGCAAGCCTTGCCAATTAAACACAAAGCCTACACCAGCAACAAGACCTCTCCTTATGCACAATCTAAGTAGATGGGATTGGTGAAATGCACTCTTCCATGACTGCTTTTACCAGGCCTTATTTGGGCTTGAATGGGCTATCCTGCCTCTTCAGCCTCAAAAGATTCTCTAAGACTACATTCCCACTAATTTTGAATGTACCTAGTAGCCCAAAGTATAAGAGAAAAAGAAGAGCATTCCTACCAGGCCAAAAATCTATACCGCATGGATTGTTTTTTTGTTTGTTTGTTTGTTTTGTTTTTTGGGGGGTACCAGGGATTGAACTTGGGACCTTTCGTTTGTGAGGCAGGTGGTGGAAACACTGAGTTAAATCCCCACCCTACCCCACCCCACATGGACTGTTCAAGGCAAAATAACAGAGGGCTGTGTGGCAGGCATTTGCCTCCTCTTTTCTAAATGCTTCAATGCTTTTAGCTTCTCCCTGCTCACCTTCCATAGGAGAGGCTATGTGTACCTTATAGCTTCCTGTCTGTATGTGAATCATTGTCTCAGAGAATTTCCACATGCCTTCTCTTTTGACAAGCTCACAGCCTCAAGTTGGAGCCCTTTGGCCTCAGAACTGTTTTCAACTCTCTGCCAGCTACTCCCCTGCACATAATGGATTTGTCACTTCATTTAGCCTCTTGACAGTTCCCAGTCTTGCCTTAGCCCAGCTGTTTTTAGTTCCTTTTTTGGTCCAACTCCCTGGCTCAAGGTAAGCCCTTCCCTGCTGTATGAAACCTTTAGTACAAATTAGATTTCTGGACCTCTTATTTGCCTGGGAAGACAGCTTGTGGACACGGCTTAGAGATACAATGTGGACTTCAAAACATCTTCAGCAATTGTCAGAGTCTTCAAAGGTGACATACAGGAATGAACTGTTTTGTATCCCAAGTTGGAGTTTGGAAAGAGATGTGAACATCAGCATCATCCTAGGAGAGACTAATTCCCCCTGACTCTCATCCTTCATCCTTACTCCATACCTCAACACACCACCACCACCCCCTCACCAAACTTGAACTCCTATTCGCTTCAGGAGTTTTACCAACTTCTATTATAAAATAGCACCGACCTATATGAAAGCATGTCTTGGTACAAATATTTCTTGTTAATTGTTCACTACAAAGTTTCCCCACAAGAAAATATCACTATATTTTGGTCTCTCTGGATATGCAAAGGACTTTTATACTTTGGTTCTTCTAGGAAAAGTTATTCTATAAACAAGGCTAATCTTTAGGACTTTTCATTATTCCAGCACAAGTTTAATTATCTTTCTGCCCCTGCCATGAGCCTGAATTTAAAGTGACATTGAGAACACGGTACATGACACAATGACATTCATTAAATTGCGGCAAAAGGAATACAAAAGAAGGGTAGACACAATGTAGCACCTGAAAGTCAGCTTAAAAATACTTTGCAGCATTTCACATATACTTTCTACATTAAATATTATGTCTAGTATTGGGACAGAGACTTCCGTAAGCTCAGATCTTATAACAGACTTACTCTGAATGGAAGAGTATAAAAAGCAGCCTGAAGTAAAAATAACCTGCCAGGGATGGGAGCATGTGCTTAACATAGGTAAAGCCCTGGGTTCAATCCCTAGCACCACATACAAAATAAGAACCTTCCATTCAGTTAGGTCAATAAAGATTTATTAAACAACTATCTCCTATTTGAACTATATAACAATTTCTGTAGGAAAATAGATCTCTGTTGCTATTCTTGGAACACAGCCGAGTAGCACCTAGATATGGAACGTGCTTAAACTACATAGATAGGATGAATAGCTCATTTTCCTGTCATGGTTCTTCTTGTTGTTGTCATTTTCTGGGAGGGTGCCATTTAGTCCTACCATAGACCCAAAGAGAAATGACACAGAAGGCTGTTATTTGGTTGCAATTTATGATTTCATTCAGGATATGCTGCTTTTAAAACAAAGAAAAGAAAAGGGAAAGGAAAAAGAGTGATTTTCAATTGAGACTTACCTCAGCTATCTTAATTTCCAGCCTAAGCACTGACTTCATATCATGCTCTGCTCGGGAACTGTTAGCTCCTAAAAGCACAGCAGTGTCCACCATGAACTTGTAAAGGGCTTCTCGATACTGTAAGAGATAAATAACCTAGTGACCATGACAACAGGCTAGTAGGAATTATGTTACAGAGACACAGAAGAGCAGAAACAGCAGGTGGAAATAAATGTCCCTCACTTTCACGCTATACTCAATGCATGGCACAGCCATTATGAAATACCAGCCACTCACCTACCATGTTGGGAGGAAAAAAAAAGAGTGAGGAGAATGTGGACAGTGTTTGCATGTGACAAAAAAGCCTAGTATCAAGTCTACATCCAGTATCAAGAGAACTAGTCTTCCAGTAAAGGGAGACATTATGGATACATGAAACATCTCCAAATGAGCCTCAGATAGAATGTTAAAGGTCAGAAATCCTCTTTCCAGGTGAGTGAGCCTTTAATAAAATAATAGGAAAGGTCTGTCTCTAAAAGTAGGATGACTAATCGCTAACACTGGCAGAAACTGTGATTTATTCTCTTCCAGCTCAATTTACCCATCATCACACTAAGACATAAAAGATGACTTTAGTGATTGCAGCCTTGTGTCTTTTTTGTTATGTTCAGTTTTCATAAAGTTCTCCTCCACAGCTCAGGGGAAAAAGAAGGGAGAGAGGAAAGAAATGATGACAAGAAACCTAGAAAATAACAAATATAGAATTTCCTCCCTAGTGTACTCTTTGGCCCTATGTTGTTCTTATTATGTTTCTGACTTCAGAATCTATGCAGTACTTAGCATATGTGTCAAGCCCTTGAAAAAAAAAAAGAAAAGTGGTTGGCCCGGTGAGTGAGTCTCTCAAACAGCCTTAATTACAAAGAATAATGTTTTGCCATTCCCATTTCAGTTCAGGAAAATGCCCAACCTCCTCAACACATACGCAATGTGGCTTGCTAGGAGCGCTGTGCATATGTTGGGGGAAAGTAATGCAGATGAAAACAAAATAATGCTCGAATCTGCTTCTCAAACAGTGTGTGATCCAGTGAGGAAAATAAATATTTAATTGTTGACAGTAACATTGGAGATATCAAAATGAGTTCCTTGGCAAAGCTATTATGTGCTTAGAAACTAGAGATCTAGAGAAGTCCAGCCTAAAAGCAAAGGGGGGATATATCATTTGAGGGATACAGTTTGGGAGGAGTAGAGGAGAATGAACTGGTTGTGTTGAGAGAGGAAGATAAGAAGATGAATTGGGAAGGTGGTTTGGGATCAAACCATTAAGAAGCTTTGAACTTGCTTCGAGGAATTTAGAGCCTATGTTGAGAGCATAGGGCATTGGAAGAGGCACTTTGAGAACAGAACTTGTCAAGTGGTGCTAAGGAGAGGAGGTACCAGGTAAAAGGCTACTTACTGAGGTGAAGGCAAGAGTGGAAAAGAATCTGACCATAGATGACTGGAAGAAATGTTTCCAAGGTAGAATTAATTGGACTTGACTAACTGCTTACAAGGGGCAAAGATGATTTTGAGCCTAGTTGCTGAGACCTCAATAGAAAAAAGAGGCACCCCAAGGTTGGAAAAGCTTCATTCTACTTTTAAAAGGGAAACTTGCCAACTCTCTTTGTTGAGCATCCTCATGCAGAAAGATGCCTAGGATCTTGCCTAATTTTCTGCCCACCAGAGCATTCTACAAATAGAGCTTAGTATTAGCATAGACCTAGAATACCTAGGTATGAGATTGTTTTAGAAGTTCAGTGGTTTCCAGTCACTGGGAAGTATTAGAAATGCATTAAATCTTTCCACTCTCAGGAAACAACTATGTTTCCACACTAGGCCAAGCAGTCTAACCTGGCTGATCCTCTCCAGTTTTCAGTAACCTCCATAACCTGGGGCACCTGTTAAAAATACACACTCCCAGATCCCACCTCAAGTCCACTAAGTCAGATTCTCCAGGGCTTGACATACAATGAAAGGTTCCCAGCTTATTCTTTAGCAGATTCAGAGCCACTGGTCTCCTGGGTGCCCCTCCTCACGCTTCACTTCTGCACTTCTCAGGAATGAGTGCAAGGCCCTTTCTCAGTTATTCCACTTAGGTATTCTGTCTACCCAGTTACAACATGAGGGCACTGGGTAGGGGAATTTATTGAAACCTTGATGCCCAGATTTCTAGTAGTTGAAGAGTAGAATAGACCACCTAAATCAAATGTTTTTGCTTGTTGCATTAGGAATATGGTCAGTGAATAATCACACTGCTCATGTCCAGGAAAGAAGCAGGCATCTTAGAACAACTGATGAATCTGACAGCAGACTGAAAGGCCCACAATTGAATATATATAAAACTTACAGGTGGCATACCATAAAGCACCACCACACACCCAAAACTTATTTTTGTCCCATTGGTTTCATCTTAACTCTAACATCATGTCTGGTTCTAATGGTGCCACAGAGAATTCTCACAATAAGGCTTGGACTTCACCTTACCCAGGCTCCAAAGTTAAACGTGGGCAGGTTTCTAATGAGAAAGTGGGCTGGCTTGTTGAATGGCAAGACTATAACCCTATGGAGTATACTATCCTCTCTGTCTTGACTGGACCCAAGTGGGTGGATCCTCAAATCAGTGAAAGTAACATTTCTCTGAAGTTTAATGAAAAGGATGGGCATGTGGAGAGAAAAAGCCTGTATTAAATTGAAAATATAAGACCCAGAAATCCTGAAGGATGGACAGGACTGGTTGGCTGGTTGGGGAGATAAGGCTCAAATCATGCTGCAGATCCCATTATAACCATGTGAAAAAGGGACAGCAGTGAAAATAAAATCACCCCTATCCCATTTATTGGAAAAACATCTTATAGTTTGTTGCAATAAAAAGGAAAGACTGCAGAGAATGGGTGATCCCAGGGGGCATGGTGGATCCAGGAGAGAAGATTAGTGCCACATTGAAAAGAGAATTTGGTGAGGAAGCTCTGAACTCCTTACAGAAGTCCAGTGCCAAAAAGAGAGAAGTGGAGGAGCAGGTACATAAACTCTTCAGCCAAGAGCACCTACTGATATATAAAGGATATGTTGATGATCTTCGAAACACTGACAATGCATGGAAGGAGACAGAAGCTTTGAATTACCATGATGAGACAGGTAAGATCATGGACAATGCTGGGAAAGTTAAATGGGTGGACATAAGCGACAAGCTAAAGCTCTGTGCCAGCCACTCTCAGTTCATCCGCCTTATGGCAGAGAAGCAAGATGTGCATTGGAGCGAGGACTCAGAAGCCGACTGCTATGGCTCCTAGCCTGCATCTCCAGGTCTTCAGAGTCCAGCAAGGAGCATGTCCTGAGGAGAGGGAAAGTCACAGAGTTCATGATGGGACAGGCCAGGTCACCCAGAAATTTTCAAGTTCAGAATGTTTATATTTAGAAGGTGTGGTGTCCAAAAGACTAAGTGTGATAAAATTTTGGTTTTTCTGGTCAAAAGGATTTGATATAGTGATATTTTGTAAATGTCCTATTTAAGCGCGCTGTAAGCCAAATTTAAATAACTGATGCTCTTTGAAGAATTGTAACTAGCATAAAAATAAATTCCCAATAGGCTGTTACAAAAACAAAACAAAACAGAAAAAACTTACAGACTTGGCTTCTGTGCTGTTGTCAAGGTAGTCTTCCCTCACAGCTAAGGAGAGTGTTGCTTGGTCCAGCTGTTAAAACAAAAACAGAAAGCATCCCACTAACTCTTATGTTCTGTGCTAATAAATGTCATGACATCATCTGCATCCCAATCATATTCTGAACTTACCATTACAAAAAGAGTTCACTCAATTCAGAGTTATATGCAAATAGGTACTTTATGACAGATCTTAAGTATCAGAGACCTGATCCTGCTTTGCTGATTCATAGCTTGTAAACTTCGTGGAGTTTCTGTCAACCTTGAATAGCACCAGGGCTAATTAAGTTGGAACAGATCTTACAGATTTTTTTCTTCCTTATTTTCTTCTCTGTTTCTTTTCTCCCTTATTTGATGGGGGAAGAAACAAAAGTCAGAGAACTGACTGATTTTCTCAAGATAATATGGTTGGGCAGAGCTTAGAGTAAAATCATCTTCTGATACCAGATCCAGTATCCTCACCACTTCAGTATTTGGCAAATGCCAATCTGGATAAAACTGAGTAATCAGATTATCCATCTCTCTACCTCTAAAATTATGTATTGTATTTTCTATTGCAAAGGAATCAAATGATAATTTTGTTTCAAGAAATTTTCATGAATTTGAAAACTCTCTGCTCAGGTGCTAAAGACATAAATAATCTGACAACTATATCAGTAGAATTATTATGATGGAAAAGTATAGAAGAAATTCTTGAAATAAAACTTTCAGCAGCAGAAAGCCAAAGGAAACAAGATAGTCTTTTCAATATACTTGTTAGAAAAACTGGACATCCATATGCAAAACAACTAATCCTTGGTCCATACCATATACCTTGTACAAAAAATAATTGAAAATGAATCACAGACATAAATGTAAAACCTAAAAATATAAAAAACTTATAGAAGAAAATGTAGTGGAAAGCTTTGTGGCCTGGGGTTAGACAAAGAATTTTTAGACATGACACTGAAATCACAACATATTAAAAAAAGTGAACAAACTGGACTTCATTAACATTAAAATTTTTTGCTGTGCGAAAGATACCCTGTTAAGAATGAAAAATGAGTGTGAATAAACTATTATAGTACGTAAGATCCTAATGATATAATGGACATGTGAAATAGGAAGGGGCTAAAGGTGTAGGGAAAGTGGGAAGGGTAGGGGAAAGGTAATGAGGGAAAAGAAAAATATGAGAAAATGAAGAAATGGAAATGAAGTGTTTGTAAAGGGAGAGGGAGGAGGGGTGAAGGGAGGGCAGGGACAAGGGGAAAGAATGAGAACCAAGACCTGTCATGTAAAGGTACAAGATCCCAATAATGAATGTTACTGTACTGTATACCTAAAATGTACCAATAAACTCAATGAGAAAAAAAAGAATGAAAAATCAAGCCACAGCAAAGGGGAAATATTCTAAAATAATATGTATTTCAAAGGACTTATATCCAGAATTATAGAGTCCTCAGAATTGAACAATAATAAATTTCATTTCAAAAGTGAGCAATTTAAAAGATAAAGATCTACATCTCACCAAAGATATGCAGTGGGAAAATGAGCACATGAAAACATGTTCAATATCATTAGTCATTAGGAAAATGTAAACTTAACTCACAATAAGATACTACTATATGTTTATTGAAACCTATAAAAATCTGACAAGTGCTGGAAAAGATATGAAAAAATTAGAACACTTATACACTAGTGGTGCAAATGTAGAGTGGTACAGCTACCTTGGCAGGAGACCAGTTTGATCATTTCTTATAAAGATAAACATACATTTATATGTCTCCCACCAATTCCACTCCTAGGTATTTACTCAAGAAAAATGTAAACTTATTCTCAAATAAAAAAACCTGCTTGTGACTTTATTCATAATCATGAAAAACTGAAAACAACCCAAATATCTCTCAAGCTCTGGATAAACTATGATGCATACTGGAACACTACTCAGCAACAGAAAGGAATGAACTACTGATATACACAATGCAGGTGAATTTTACTTACATTCTGAAAAAGGTAAAACTATACGGATGGAGAAGAGAGTTGTGGTTGTCTGGGTTTTGAGATGGGGAGAGGACTATAAAGGGATAGCAGTAGGTAATTTTGAGGGCAATGGGAATATTCCATTTTTTAACTGTGATAGTGGTTACGTGATTCTATGCGTGTCAAAATTTATAGATATTTACATGACAAAAATGAAATTAGCTATATACATTGAGTTGTTTATAAAATGATTCCAGCATCATCTCTAAATCTATAGCTTGTTCTTTCTTGAAGATCAGCAACTAGCTAAAGACCCCATAAAATGGAAACCACCAGCACATTCTCCCAGTTAAAGGTCAGTTTCGTACATTAAAAACTTTAGCCAAGTGAACAAGATACAAACTGTAAATAACAAGTCAAAAATGAATAGCATCTGAATAAAAATCTTGAATGCTTCTATCATTAGCTTATATGACTTTATATTGTGTTGATCCATCTCCCTCTGGTTTCTTCTCCATCTTACTATAATTCCAAATATTTTGTTATTTTTTAATAAATGAAATCTTTATAAGATTATAATTTTTCATGAAAATCTCTTTTATATAAAACAAATTCTACAAAGGGCAAGTTAACAGTGATGTAATGAAAGTTTCAAGAAAAAAACATTACTCTTGTTTTTGGAGCAATAAGATGCTTTCAAAACATCCATTTTTCCCTGTGTGTATTGCTAAAATCCTCAAATTGTTTTGTTTGACCTTCTCTAATTGGCCTGAAACAATGAAGTCACAAGCCAGCCTGGCTTCTTCCTATTGCAATTCCCAAACTACCACTGTTTCTTCCAAAAATTTAGTAAGCCAGTATCATGAAACAAAATATTTTGATTAAGATGCTTTGGTTTTCAATTAAATTTGGACCACTTGGAGACTCTTGTGACCTTTAGTCTCACAGGAAAGAAAACTGCAGATAATATCAAGAAAGCCAAAATTTCCTCTCATGAAATGAAGCTGAGCTTACTTGTTGTAAGAGTTTAGATAATTCAAGTGAGGTTACCAGAACTTTTAAAAACCTCCAGATTGTTATGGTTTCTGGGGAACATTTTAAATACACCAACAGACTGAATAAGACCAGTCAACTAAATCTCATGGAAACATACGAATTCTTTGAGGCAAAAAGACTTTCTCAAAAAGCCAACATCAAGACACTATTACTTGAGGGTTTTTTTTTTTAATCCTTACATATACAATTGATCTGAATATTGCCAAGTAGAAAATAAAATTAATTTAGGAAGTCTCATAATTGACCTAAAAATGCAGATTATATTTCTCCAATTAAAACTGATACTCCAATTACAATCAACCTTGTTAAGAGACAAAGGGCTAATATAAAAACACCTGACAAGTTATGGTGTAGGAAAACAAAAGACAAAGAAATTTGTAAAATTTAATTTCCAACAGAGACTTTTCTCAAAATCATGAATTTTGCTGAGAACCAGAAAATGGCAGGCTGCTAAGTGAGGAGGATTTTAAATCGTTTTATACTTGGTCACCATTGCCAACCAAGTACTCTTTTGGGATCACATACCATATATTCAAACCTTTTATTATGCCTGAAATCTTCATCCTTGCTATCTCCTGGCATAAAACACCCAAACACAAGTAGCAAGATAGTGTTTCAGGAACACTCATTTCTTGTATTTTTGTGTTTTTTTCTCCTATTTAAGTCTGTATCACCTTGTGACAGGGAGTACAGCTAAGGGCCATTGTATGACCCAACTGCACATCCTTGAGATGAGGACACATGTGCTCATTAGAAGAGACGCCCTTTTCTTCACCCAGAGATACCGTATGTCCACCCAGGAGTATGGTGACAGTGCTGTCTCTGCCCAGAAGGAGGACATTTTTAAGAAACCATGTGTTTGTGGGATTAGAGAAAATAAGAACACTTGGAAAAATAGAGTTTAATGGGAAAAGAAAGGCTAAACGCATTGAGAGAAGAAAGTTTGAGGTGAGAGAGCTTCTCCACCTCAAAGAGGCTCTTCCAGGCAGCAAAAGAAGCCTATGGTTCTCATGAGCAAAGTGCCTAGTCAGTACGACTAATGTAGCAGTATCTGTGAGGGAGAGGAGCCCCAGAGCCCAGGAATATAAGTACACCTGCAGAAGCCACACATGATCCAGAGTAGCCTTCTTGTCAAACACTATTTGATGATTGGTTGTCCCAGGAGGTAAGAGATGGAGCAGTCAGGAAGGGATATGCAGTGTCTATATCCAGGATCAATTTCCCAGAAAAAAGTGGGGTGGAAGCTCAGGGTAAAAGATTAGGTTAACTAAAGAAAATGCCTACTCTGGCACCACCAATTTTGAGATCTGACAGGCATGTTGGGTACACAAGTTAAGAAGTATTTTTCACGTGGTCCTGACCTGATGCTGGGTCCTACTTCAATAGAAGGAAGTCTTTTGTCGTGTGCCACTGTATACCAATATCTATGGAAACTCACAAAATTCAAGTCATTTAAACCTCACAGTAATGATGCAAAGTCAATTCTAACTTATCTGTCCTTACACATGGGGAAAGTGAGACTCGGAAAGGTGAAGCAATGTGAACAAGGGTATTTAGTGAGTAAATAACAAAACTAAATTGAGAACCTCAATGTCTTCAATGAGGCTTAATGAGCCGCAAAGCCTACCCTTGCCAGAGTACCAGTGGTCTTCAAACTATATTCCACAAAACCTAAAAGAAGTTCAGGGACTCCAAATGTTCATTTAATTAAATTATATTTTGTACAGCTTTAACTTGTTTTAAACTGACAAAAAAGTAATACACACAAATTCTACAATTTTCACAGCCACCAATATCCTGGTTTTTATTGTTCAATTTGTTGTGTTTCATGTAGATCTCAGAATAAAGCTTCTCCTACCATCTGTGGACTCATGTTTGAACTTCTTATAACTGTATCATGACTAGTTATGAGACTGTATGATTAGTTATCACGACTGTAACTGTTTTGTTTGGGGAAAGGTGCTGAATTCAGATATATGAATATTTCCCCATGTAAAATGGCACAAACAGCAATAGAACTAAAGCAAACGTATGTTACACTCAAATGCTAAGCAATGTTCAAACACTTCAGATTGGAACAAGCTGCTAATTTGGCAAAAGAGAGCAATAGTAAGTACATGAGTGCCTCCTTACATTTGGAAAGTTTCTTCTAGGATCACTGTAATTGAATATTAAGTGTGAAAAGCAAGATGTTACCATGGCCTTCTGTCCCTTCATGTTTTCTGGAAGTGGATATTAATACTGGAGGCTTGATTAGATTTAAGTTCAGTTTTTTTTCTTTTCTTGACACAACATCATTTTTTGATGGTATGTACTTCCTACTGGTATTAAGGACACAGTATCTGGTTGTCCCAATTCTAGCAATGCTACCGTGAATATTTCGGTTAGGGTGGTAACAGCCTGAGTTCTCTATTGAGAATTTCCCAAAGTTTCACCTAATGATTTTGGTAGCTATTAATGATAGTTGCCTAGACCTCGCATTGTCATCGGGAATTTTTTTAAATGGCAACTTTCTAATTCTATCATTTCTCCTCAGTTTTTAAGCTGATTCCCCTCTATTCAAGAACTTTATCTCATCAGCCATAAGGTTACCCTAAAGTCAGTCAAATCCAGAATGTGGAAAGATCCTATAGACCTTTTACAAATAAATGTGATGTTAAAAAAAACGGTAAGAAAGGAAACTAGAAGATTAGAATACTGGAGACCAAATCAAAGGCCAGTTGCTTTTGGTTTGGGTCTTTTTAAAGTTTATGTTTGAGAGCTAGGGGTATAACTCAGTAGTAGAACATTTGCCTACTATGCTCAAGGCTCTGGGTTCCATTCTCAGCACCACAAACATATTAAATTAAATTATTAACTTAAAAGGACATGTTTGAGCCAATCAGGATATCTGAAAATTAACCATGTACTAGATATTACTTGTGCAGTTATGATTACTCTTGTGGTTCTGATGAGTGTCCTCTTGATTAGATCAGCACTGAACCATTCCCAATGCAATGGTTTTATTCTTTCAATTTGCTATAAAATGTTACCGCCTTCTCTCTCAAAAAAGGAAGCCTTTAGAAAAGATAAGAATAACAGAAAGTTGAAAGTAATGAAGCTGGGTTGATGGGTCCAGTGGAGTTTGATGCTCTATTCTTTTTTACTTTTGTGTGTATTATTTTCCATAATAACATGCTTAAGGAAATTTATTTGACTAGATCCTAAAATGGTAAAAATAAAATGGCTACCATTTGCTTTATTTAGTAATAAGTCAAGATCTCCTATTGACCAATAGTGTGCATAAACCTAAGTTTGAAAGATAGTTTCCAGCTTACTTCAAAACACCATCTAAAATGTTTGAAAGATTATCTTAACAGTTCTGAAACTGAGAATAATGTTCTTAAAACCCGGTTTTAGAAAATGAGTACTCTATCAACATGGGAGAGAGGTCCAATGGATTCCCCTCATCATTGCATCTTACATAGCACATTTTATACTGATAGCATCAGAAGATGACTCAATACTATGTGACCACTTCATTTCCCAACATGGAAACACAGCTGACTCTGAAACAGAATTTCGTTCTGAGTAGGTGGGAATTCCTTCAGTGACTAAGGATTTTTTATTGAGACTTTCATTGTCTAGAGGTCAGAAAACTATAGCTTTTGGGCCAGCCCATCATATAGCTGCCCACTCATCATCTGAGGCTGCTTAACCAAGTACAACAGCAAAGTCTAGTTGTTGCAACAAAGACCAGATAGCCTACAAAACTTAAAATATCCCTCTAACAGAAAACAATTGCCACCCTCTAGTCTAACCCAAGATCAACTCCAGAGTTTGGATTTCAGAAAGTTGATTTATATCAGGTAAGGATGATACACTCTAATGGTTTTGTAACTTTTACAATTTGAATATCAATATACCATTAATATTTTCTAGTTTGACAAAGAACACAATTGGGGGATCAATCACTCAATAATATTATTAAAGTAAGTGTGGTAGTAAAAAACAACAGGATCAAAGCAAAGTGATTTCAAAACTGCTATATGAATTCTTACAAAGCTCTTTCATTGATGAATCTGTTTTTGCTAGCTTCCTGACAGCTTTCTAATTTTAACAGTGTGATCTTCCTCAGGGAATATCCATGTGGCCCAATGCTTCATGGAAAAGATGCTTACTCTCCCAACAGAAAATGCAATCTGCTACTTAGAAGTTCTGCTTGATCTTTTGAAAGGAAGGAGAAATTCAGGTTGAACTTGACAATGAGAACGTAGGTGTGCATGTAAAAAGATGTTCATTTGAAAAGGGAACAAGAAATCATGGCATGTATTCTATTCTGTCAGGGTAATGAGGAGATGAGGGAAAGAGCAGAGTTCAGAAAGTTTTTTGTAACAGCTGGAAAATCACAATCATCTCTCTGCTGGAATTTAGGGGCCTTGTGTTTAGAGTAGCTATTGGAAGACCAAATCACAGGCCTCTTTAAAACTCACTCACTGACATCCTGAAAGGCTGACAAAATTTGTTTGCTACTGATCGAAATTCTGCATATCTTGGAGGGGGAAATATTCTACATCCTAATGTTCAACAAAACTTTTATTTGATCATTCACTAAGACAAAAGATGTTTCTTTCCCTAGGAAGGCACCCCAAAACACTAATCTTGGGCTGGACAGAGCTCTGGCTATACCTTCAAGATGTGCTCATTGGATGCTTTGTCATCGGGGGACACATACAAACGGATGAAAACAGAATTGCTGTATTGACCACGGAATGTTGCAAGTGTGTGCAGAAGGCTGAACTTTCTCTCTGACCAAACTCCTTCAAGGCCAATATTAGCTTCAAGCACAGGCCAGCGGAATGGTGAGTGTCGCAGGATATAGAGCAGTGGTTTGGCATCTGCTTTTTCAATTGCTTCTGAAAGGGAACATATATATAAAGGGAGAGTTAGAACTGCAAAGCAGATCACCAAACAAAAATGAAAGTGCATTTTCTGAAGAGAAAATTCTGTAAAGCCTCAACTCGAAATTTCAGCTATTAGGAAGAGGATGGAGAATATGGTGTGGATTGAGTGTAACCACAGAGACAAATCCACTCCACCTAAAACTCACACTTCAATGTGATCATCTAAATCTGGTGTTTTTGCCAGAAAAGTTGACAGAAACCTCCTTGGTTTTTCCTATAACAGAAAATGGGCTCACTATGTTGACTCCAGTTAATAAAGTTAGGCTGATCATACCTGGTGGTATCTAGGAACAACCCTAACTAAAGGAAATGACTCAGAAAAGCCAGTCACTCCCTAAGGAAATAAAGTAATGCTTCAGACTGTTTTTTTACTGCCCCCTTCTAGCCTACTAAGTGATGCCCCAAATCCTAGCTCAGCGAACATACTTCCCAGAAGCACTGTCTTCTTGCAGTGGACTTGAGAACACATATTGGGTAAAACAGCAAGTATCTCTTCCAACCCCAGGCAGCCCCAAGACGTCAATAGACAAGTGTGAGGATCTCAACAAAGATTTTGACTAAGCTAAAGAGTCTGGGAATCTGGATTTCTCTGGGTTCCAGTAGGTCAATTCTCCCAGATATACTTACTCCCTCCCAGTCTCCTTCTCAGACATGACGTGGCCTGGCCTCTGGATTCTTCATGAGCCATGTATCATGAGTCTTGCCCTACTGCCCTGTCCAAGTGTCTCACAGAGTGTAAATGATACCCAAATAACCTATATCATACAAATAAGAATATTTTCTCCACCAAGCCAACCACAAAAGAGTAACTAAGGAAGATTAATCAAACTCCTGTCACTATGTTCCTCTCCTTAAACAAAACCTTTAAACATTAGGAGAATTTTTAGTTATCTTTTTCCTTAAACAGTATCTTTAAACATTAATAAAATTCTGAAGGCTAAGGTGTTAAGTGTCTTAATTGTTTTCTTTATTACTTACTTTCATTCATACAGGATGAATAAAGAATTTTGGCCTTCTGTATGGCTTCAGAGTCCCGCCTTCTACTGATTGATTTCTCCAAAAGTGCTGGGAAGGTTAAGAAAGGATGCATTAGTATCCATCCACATGTAATGCAAAGTTGCAGATCATTGGCTAATCACAGTCCCAGCCTCCATAAAATTGAATGTAAAAACAGACAACCTGGAAAATATGTATCTGTAAAAGACAGAAGGATGGCAGAACCAATTCCAAGCTGTTTAATGTTCAAACAGAAACAATTTAACTTTCTCTTATCCGGGGTTCTCCTAACTCAAAAGATATCTAAAGTTCAATTTCCAACTGAGACTGGACCTTCTGCAGGGGTTAATTTCCTCTGCCACCCAACACAAAAGGAAACAGAATTCATTTATTCAAGAACCAAAAATAACTGAATTCTGTCTCTTGTTTCTGCACCAAGTAACATTCTCAAGGGAGGCAATTTCATCAGGGTCAAGTTTCTTAAGATTTTTTCACAGCACAGCGTCTCAGGGAGGTCACCAGGAAGAAATTGCCCATTAGAAGTTTTATTCAATGTTGCATAAACATGCTGTGGACATGGAAGACGTTGTTTAGACAGGAAATGGGGAGATGAGGTTGGAAAGCCTTCCCAAATTGCCTGAAAACTTGCCCATTTATACATGCAAAGTCCTGGCTGTTTAAATAAGGCCATGTATATACAGTGGCTTCCAGATCCACCTAGAGAGTGATTTTCTATTTAAAAAAGCACTAATAATACTATTCAAAGGTGGAAAATGGCAGTTGTCACTATTTCACTAAATAAGGAAAGAGCAAAGCCAGGACTCAATGAAAACAAAACCTCTTTAAAAAAAAAAAAAAAAAAAAAA